TCCCTAATCAAAAAGTAATTCGCTCCAAGGTAGATCTGGCAATTTCTAAAAACTGCTTTTAAAAAGCTTGACACAGGGGGGAAGGTTTTAGATCCACACTGGAACACTGATTCAGCAGTTAGGAATGTTGTATGACCATCCCTCTAGAGCCCCAGCCCAGCCTGCACAAGGAAACACTCTCAAGTTTGCAGCAGTTAAATGTGCAGATTTCCAGAGGTGGGCAGCCCTTCCAGCAAATGTCATTGAGTTTGACACTCCTTTTCCCTAGAAATCCTATTTCCCGCTAAGCAGTGCCCACTAGAGGGCAAGGCTGCTCTGCAGCAAGACGGTGACTGCCAGAAGACAAAAGGATGCCAGTGACACACCAGGCAGTAGAGCATTCCGACTTGTGTGCCACGTTATTTGAAGAATTGTCTCTAATCAATTCCCAAGTATCCCCGTGGTGTCTCTAATCTCATTTGGATTTCATTTACAAGGCTGTAAGACGTAATTCTGCATATAGCTGACTCATTTTATTGCTTGGCTGTGATGTTTCCTCACCTGTACCTCAGCAACTGCCTTTCTCCCTCCAGACAAACAGAAACCAGGGACCTCCATGGTGTCGGAGAGGTAAGGCTGCTCACACCACTCACATCTGATTGCAAACACCAATTTGATTCCAGAACAAATCTTAGCAAGAAAAAGAGGCTGCTTTGGTTATTTCAGGCAGAAGGAAGCATTTCAATCAATCTTTGAGACAGGTAAAAATAAATTAGCATTGATAGCACCTCATCCTCTGCCAGATGGAGTTGGAGGTAGAAGTTCAATACCCAGAGGCCTCGTTTCAAAACTGCACTGAAGGTTCAGCACCTTTCAAAGGCAGTTTGCTTGATTGTTTTTGCTGAGATACAGACTTGAGGTCTCAACCTGGGTTTCTGGATCTCAAAGCAGCCTCAGTGAGACAAAGTCAGGTCCCTAAAAATATCTTCCAAGACGCCTGTTAATGTTACTTAGCAAGAGCAGGATAAGTGGTCCCCAGTCCAGAGACCTTTGGAAGAAAACAACCAGGGGGAGGATGATCCAGCTGAAACCCATTGTCCGTCACTGCTACCCAAGAAAAGAGGCTGCATGTGAAAAAGCAGCAGGAAACAAGCTGGAAAGGACCAAAACATGTCACTCCGCCTTTTTCACCTGTTAAGTTTCCTATCAAAGTAATAAACCCTGCTTAGGAAAGAGGGGAGGGACAGCAGGAGCAAAGTCTGATGCCTAATTTGTATCAGTGGTTCCCAAATACCCTCAATGGTCATGATACAAGTGACCTACAACCACTGAGACAGGACACACAAGAGGACAAGATGGCGACCCTGAGGCATCCTAGTTCCCAAAGTCATCCAGTCTCAACTGGTACTAAATGCATATCCCATTCCTCAAGTTACTCCCACTCTTCAGAGTGGCAATACTCAAGTAACACCATAAAATGTAAAACTGTCCAGGGCTCCCTTTGTGTGACAAATCAGGGCATGTGACAGAAGGACATGGCAATGGTTCCTTTTGTTTCAGCTCTGCTAATGGCTGCAGGACTAGAAGGTATTTTGGTCGCTGAGAACTAGATCCAAACTGCTCCCTGACTGGCTACAAGTGACAGTGGTGTTTGCCTCCAGTTGTGCACAAAGAAACTCCCTTCTCTCATTTTCCCAAGTAGCTAATGCTGCCTTCTCTCCACAACAGCTGCTCAGCAGGCACAAGCCAGAAGGACAACAGCATCACTCTGATCTCCATGAAGAACATCAACATGAACAACAGCATGAGTTACCCACCGTCAGAAAAGGTTCTTCCCCTCTTAAACCTTGCTTTTTAGAGAGTTAGCTGGGGATTATTTCCCTTGCTGGGTAAGAGCATGTCTTTGAGATTTCTTTGCTTTCTTATTCCTTCCGAAAGGTAATAAAAAAACAGCTGCCATCAAACCCCTGGAGGTTCAAATGGGTTCCAATGAGCCCAGTGAAAGTTTGGGTTCATCTCAGGTTTATACAAGCTGCCTGAACTGAAGGTGTCAGGTACACCTCATGAATACAGGTGCCATCACCTAGGGCCAGCCATCAGAGCCGGAGTGTTTGTCATTACATGTAAAGAAGTCAGCCTTAGCTGAGTCAAGCTGTCACCCTCCAAGCCCAGCTCACTACACTCCTGCCCCACAGGTGATGGTGGAGCACATTCCCACCAGTACTCTCAGATCCACTCTGCACAAGTAATGCACATCATGTGGTTTAAAAGCTAAACACTAAAGCTAGCAATAGGATTGAGTTGCAGGGAACACTTTGCTTAACTTCTTCTGCCAGCCCAACCAGGCTGCTGATGCACCATGTTTTGTTCCTTTTGCAGGTGCTTTGAAGCCAAGGACCCCGAGCTTGAAGCTAAGCATGACAACAAGCAGTGACTTTCTAGGTTATTTTTTTTTCCCCCTTGGGGAAAGAGAAAGGGTGGACTTTACAGATAAATTATTATGTCCTTTCTGATCAGTACTTTTACAGCAGCATCCCAGATAGCTTCCTGACCTGGGGTCTAAGGGCTTTCTCCTGTTACAGTCTGCCATGCTCAATGGTTGTTGTCTAACTCTTTTTTTATTATTATGCCTTCAAATCCTCAGATTATTCCAGCAGCAAGAAGAACCAAGGAACCATCTACTTTGCTAATAAACTGCTGCCTTAGATTAATGGCCTTTACAGTCTGTGCCAGCCAGTTGCAGGCTCATTAATCAGCAGAGTCCCACACTGAGTCAAACCCCTGCATTAGAAAAGCACCATCTGAAGCTGACAGCCTAATGGGACACAAACGGCCAAGGGCTGGGACAAATCCCAGCACAATTGCTCCAAGCCCTTATCCTTGGTGCCCTCATTGTCCCCACAACAGTGGGGATGATCATATCCACCTACCTCACAGGGTTGTTGTGAGGCCACATTAATCAACATCTGGAAAGCATTTGGAGAGCCACGAATTAAAGGTGCTGCTGAAATGCAAATTGCCACTTTAAATCCTTCCTTATTAGTAACTGAGCTGTGGGCAGGCAAGTGACTATCTTCCCTCAGGGCCAACATGCTCAAAAAAGACTCATCTCAAGTGAAGAGAACATGGTCTCTGCACAGGCAGGGTTTTTATCTGAGTGTAAAAATAAGTGGCTACAAGCAAAATGCTGAGCTACATCAGCTCCTTAAGTTTGGTTGTCAGAGTCTGCTGGGAGAGCTCTCATCTCCTGCACCACTGCTTTCCCACCCTATCCCAGCACCAAAAACCACCAGTGCACCCACAAACCACCACAATAATAAGAACAACCGGGCTCCACAGTGCAAAAAGCTCATGCTTGGTTGGCTCCAGGGGTGATGGAGACATCAACACTCAGGCTCCATATCACCAACGGAGAAGCAACACATGGCTGGGCATCCCTGGAGGCCTCAGCTGCCTTATTTAATGCATCAAAGCACTAACCATACCACTAGAATCACAAGCTAGTTTGAGTTGGAAGGGAACTTAACCCCCCTGCATGGGCAGGGACACCTCCCAGCAGCCCAGGCTGCTCCAAGCCCCATCCAACCTGCCCTTCAACACTGCCAGGGATGGGGCAGCCACAGCTTCCCTGGGCAACCTGGGCCAGGCTCTCACCACCCTCACAGCAAAGAATTTCCTCCTCATGTCTCACCTCAGTGTACGAAGGAGCCGCAGAAGCCCTGAAGAAGCTCTGCCCAGCAGGCGTGCAGCGACCACTTCCCCTCACCCCTTCCCCACCACACAAGCCCACCCCCCCACAGCCCTCACCAACCCAGCGGCGCGGCCGAAAAGCGCCCAGACAAGCGATGCCACCGCTTAGCGGCTTTCACCACAGCATTGCCCTCACCCGGGACACGCTGGGGGGGGAAGAGGGGAGGGGGACGGTGAGCAGAGCGGCTGAGGCCCCGGTAACACCGGCGGGGGCGAGACCGGGGCGAGACCGGTGCCCGAACCCGCTGCCTC